TTTTTTTTTTTTTTTTTTTTTTTTTTCAGAAAAAAGAATCTTACCCGATACCAGTTCCCATTATGAAATCAAAAACAACCACCTTTTCATGTTGGGCTTTCATTGCGTGTTTTCAGATGGTGCTCTTTGCTTTTATTTTGCTGGCATTCCCAATATTTTTATCTTTAACCTGTTGCATTACGGAAAATGTCAAGCTTACGTAGAGAGAACAGTCACGTAACTGCCCCATGTTGTCACTTTCATCTTTAAATTGTTATCGACAGGCTGCCATTTTTTGTATGTCTCCCATACAATTTTTTCTGTAGTATTTTAAAGCAGATCTCAAATTCAAATGATTTTTTTTTTAAGAAAAAGAAAGCAGCTGTTTGCTCACCTCTGGGAGAGCTGTCTTAATAGTTGTGCGGTTGGGTGGCCTAGAGCTCTGCAGGTGTTTATTCCCGGACCTTATGTTACTGAGCGGGTGGGAATGCTGAGATGGCCCGAAGGTCCTCATGCTGGAATGCGTGCCCTCCTAAGCCTAGAAATCAGCATGGCTCTCAAACAACGGTGTAGTTGTCACACTGATCCTTTCCTGGCTCCTGCCCATGACAGCCTGTGGCTTAACTGGGACCTCTGTGGTGCAGGGCATTTTAGGACCTGAGGCCTCAGTGTCAGGCGACCAGTGGATAAAGCTCTAGAAAACCAGGAAAATCTTGCCCCGAGAGTGAGCAATCGCTGTAAAACAAAGATAAGCTTATGAACAGGAATCGCAGTCCTGTTGGTCTCCATGTCTTGTTTCTGGTGACTTGCTAGAGTTGGGCAGGGTCCTCTTCCTGTGAAACAAACCAGAAGGATGCCCTCTGGACCGCTGTGTTTCCATTCCTGCTTTTCCTGGCCTGCCGCGCTGCAGGCTGCTGAAGCCCCCGGGCTGTAAACTGCCCCTCGAGTGTTTCAGCGGGTTGAGTGCTTGGGCCCTGATTTCCTGGCTCTTGCATCAGTCTGTTTGTGAGCCTATAGAGAGGTGATTAATGGGAATGACAAACTTGAGCTTATTGACCGGAAGTTTCTCCTGTTTCCTAAAATGTTTTTGCTTTAATGAATTGTTTGTTTGCTGCCCACGGACCACACGGGTCGGTGTGTGTACCTCTGTTGTTGTGAACACCATATGCCTTCATGTGGGAGCTGGGTTTGTAAAGCAAAGTCAACATTTGATAAGGCTTGAAAGAGCTTTCTCTGACAGCCCCAACCGACTGGGAGAGTTACAGCTGCCTGTCACCATAGGCAGAGCCGGGGAGCTGGAACTCTGTGTCCAGAATCACATCACAGTAATTGCCTCCCTCGCCCCCAGCTTTGAAGTTGTACGGCCCATGGGGTTTTCGATTGCTAGAAATACCGCGTTACTGGGCCATGTCATGCCTGTGGATTTTAGCCCTGTCGCAGCACTGCTGTCAGTGTCCTCTCAGCCCCACCACCATCCAGCCCAAGGAATCAGGAGCGTCCTCTGGAATGTGCCCAGGAGAATCTAGGGAAGGGGAAATTCTGCCCTTTTGGCAACCAAATATAACATTGACCTATTTAGAGAAAACTTTTTCCCCAATTTAAAAAATAATGCCTACTTTTGTAGAAATTTGGGGAAATAGAGAAAAGGTGGGGGAGTCACTTACATTTCCAACAGAGATAACTTACAATTTGCATTCTTTGCCTCTGCATCTGTTTTTTTTTTTTTTAATGTGCACTGAAGATGTTCTCCTTAGCTGCATTAATACTCTATGTACAATATTATCTTCTCTCTGGAACATAATAGTGTAAAGATTTGTACGTGTTTTAAAATTTTATAAGCCCTTAAGAGCCCTCATTTTCTGCCAGGTGGACATTTCATAATTTAACCGTGTTCTTGAATAGTTAGGTCATTTGTAATGCTTCCATGAGCATCTTTGTACAGAAAGCACTTTCTATATTTTGTGTTATTTTTACACTAGACTTTATAGAACTGGAATTAACAGATCAAAGAGAATCAGGAGAACGAACCCTTGAAGGCTCTAACATTGCCATTTTGCTGCCCCAGAAGGGTGCACCCACTTCCCATCCAGCCAAATTCTCATCAACAGCAGAATCGATCCTTAAGCCTCAGTTCTGCTTTTCCTAATGGGCATATCTAGTACCACTCCAAGTATTTGGCAAGGTGATGATTTAGATTTTAAAAGTCCTTGATGTGTCAGACAGTGACTCTGTGACCCACCGTCCACAGTGGGCTGTGACTGGTTCTCCCTTCTCCGTCCCTCCCCCAAGTTATTTGCACGTTTCTTGACAGCAGTTCCATTCTGCTGTCAGCTCTCTCTCCAGTCTCAGTGACAATCAGAAGAGCTTATATTTGTGTCTGGGTGTGTGTGTTTTCTAAAGTGCCTTCATGCACACTATCTCACATAAGTAAGTTTAAGTTGTCGGTACAACTTGTGAATTGGCCCAGGGACCTCTCCAGGAATCTTGACATTTTAGAGTCTATCTAATGATGCCTTTTTGTTCTTTCACACAGATCCAGTTCTGCAGGTTCCAACGCATGTTGAAGAGTAAGTTTTCCAATCTGCTCCAGTACTTTCATCATTTTCTGTATTACTCAATATTTGTGAAGCTAGCTACTGGGAGTACATATGCTTAAGTTTAAGGTACAGTGAGAATGATTGAGGCAGAAAAAGTCTTACAGGTGCTACGATAGAAGTCTGTCTTGGGAGAGGGTAGCCAGTTCCTTTGGGAGGGAGTCAGTTGCATTATGGGGGAGGAAGGCAATGGTATTAAAAAAAGGCTTATTTGAGATGGAACCTAAGTTGAGTTTTGGACTTAAGCTTCCAAAGTCCTCTGGAAGGCCTAAGGGTTTAAATCTCTCCCTCTTACTGTGTTAACCAGGGAGAGGAAATAGGAGTGTAACCTGCTACTAGAGTGTGTTCGTTAGAATAAAAGTGGGAGGGCACCTGTGAGAGCCTCAGAGGATTCTGCGGGGGTTTCTGCATGACCAAGTGTAGTCTTTAGCACGTTAACTCTACCAAAGACCACCCCACATCTGCTTCCTGGGAAGCTACTGGCCGAGAGACCTTTTTCTATGTCCTCGGTAGGTTCTTTTTGATGTCAAGCTTTCAAAGTCTGCTTTTATTGCCTCTGGTTTAAAGATAAATGTTTGTTGAACTCTAAAGGTACATTTGTTCTGCCTGTTTATGGACCACGCTATTAGGTACTAATTGTTGAAGTTCTGTACACAGTCGACTTGGAAGCTGAAAAGCAGACCCACTGGGTCCTTTTCACTTATTTCACCTTCCTCCAGAGTGCTTTGACCCAATGAAGATTTACTCTTCTATGATGTCGTACAATTTTTCCTTTGCAGGTTGCTTTTTTCTACTCAAGTATAGTGCAAACCACTGTAGGGATATGTTGTTTGTGGCTAAAAGAAAAAGCAGTGGGTGGAAATGGCTTATCAATGCGCACATCCCGTTTTCCCCCTACCCCGTCCTGGCTTTCCATGGCTTTGATCATTTGTTCTGTGCCCTGGGCTACAATTCATCACTGATACTCACTGCTTAATTTCTAGGCCTGCCTTCCTCCCGGATCCCAACGATGGCAGCCTGTATACCCTCGGGGGCAAGAATAACGAAGGCCTGACGGTGAGTGTATTTGCTTTTGTGTAGTCCAGAGGTCCTAGACCACAGATCCTTCACTTTCGCACACAGATCTCCTGAGAGGCAGGCCACAGTGTATTCCCAATACCCACATCCAACGAAGTCCTCATATTCAGAATATACAAGCTGGGGCAAAAGTAGGGTTACAGTTCATATGGAAAATAATACAATCATTAATCAGTAATAATACAAGAATAAATTGTTTCCCATACCCATGACTATAAACCTATTTTTGCCCACCCTGTATAAAGAAACTCAAGGATTATTTTAAAAAGTCAACCCAGTAGAAAAATGGCAAAAGAGGATACCCAAATGGTCAATAACCATATGGGAAGGCACTCGCTTCATTAGTCAGTAGGGAAATGTAAATAAAAATCACAGTGTCATGCTACTTCCCACTCATTAGAGTGGCTAGAATAGGAAAAGTGGGAAAAGAAAACAGGTATGGGGGCGTCAAAGCAACCCGAACCCCCGAGATGCTGGTGGAAGTGCAGGTCAGTGCAGCCGGTTTGGAAAACTGTTCAGTAGTATCTGTTACAGCCCTGTCGCCCAGTAATCCCCTCCTGGGTTATATACCCAGCAGAAATGCGTGTATGTGTTCGCCAAAAGACAGGTACCTGAATATACTGCATGGCATTATTTATAATAACCAAGAACTGAAAATTACGTAAATAGCATGAAGAGTGGACGGGATAAATTACAGAATCATATACAGTTTAATAGTCTACACCAGTGAGAATAGCCTGTGACGTGGATGAATCTTGCCAGCTTAAGGTTGGACAAAAGATGGCAAACAGAGTCTATGCAGTAAAGGATTCATTTCTATAAAGCTCAGATGGGAAAAAGTAGTCTCTGATGTTTGGAAATTAGGATGATTACCCTGGGGGGGGGGAGGGTCATGATTGGAAGAGAGGGCGAGAGGGGCTCTCCCAGTGCTGGAGATGTTCTGTTCTCTCTCTCAGTGCTGGTTACATGGGTGCGTTCACATTGTAAATTGCACCGAGCCGGACACTTCCATGGGCTTTCTGTTTGTAAGTTCTGCTTCAGTGGAAAGTTTAAAAAACGTCTAAGGTGCAGCCAAGTTGAGAACCACTGGTCTAGACTGTAGGTGGCTTATGAGCTCTAATTTGGGTATTTTAAAATTATTCGATGAATACCTGTGACTGGAACAGGTGGGAGAAGGGCAGGCCTTGTGTAGATGGAGGTGTGTGTGTTTCACCTTCAACATTTCTCTCCACATCACTAGAGCCTCCATTGCTGAAGCACTTTGTTAGCCAGAAACTGGGTGGAGTGATTTGTATACACTGTCTCATTTGAACTTCTAAGCAGCCCTCTGGGATGTCAGTGTTGCCCCCATGTTAGAGGAGTAAAAACTGTGCCTGGGGAGATGAAGGATCGTGCCCAAGGCCAAGGCTTCAAGTGTTGGACTTGGGACTTGAAGAGCTCTATAACTTCCAGAGGATGCTCTGACCACCGCCCCACGTGCCTTCCTGCGTTGTGGTTTAGCAGCTCCAGGAATGACGTGGTTTCCAGCCCAGGCCCTGAATCTGGAGGCTCAGCAGATGCACGGGACTCAGACTGGAAGGCTTACAGTGACTTTCTAATTCTCAGAAACATCTGGCAGAAGCCCAGTCATTACAGCCCCTCTGTGGCATTTTTCCTCTTCTAAGGCTTAGCTTAAATGTTGGGATGATGGGGAAATCCAAATGATTAATTACTTAAAGTTCTGTTTCTTGAAGCAAGAGAGAAATTGTTTCCTTCGTAGAGAAAAAGGTGGCAGTGTAGTAGGAGCAGGTATCTGTAGAACGGTTTCAAGAACACAGAATGTTCCAAAAATAAAGCATACTGAAACAAACAGCACCAGAAGGGCTGTCAGATGTCAGCTGTAGGCTCAGAAGAATCGGTTTTATGATGAAATGCAGTTGAAACATGTGGATTCCTTTGTTTCTTTTCCTGGCACCTACCATAACTTCCCTTTAATACAAAGGTTCGATTTTCTTGTTTCTCAGTGGAGAATTACTTCCTGAAGAAAACATGAAAACTTTTCCTCTTCAGGCTCCTGTGTGCCCACATAGTGATGACTTTTTTTTCCTCAAAGCTTCGGCTGGGCACTGAGATTGCTGCTCTTCAGAATTAATCTCGTGGCTCACTCTCACTCTGAAAAGTCTACTCAGTCTAGCTGGCTCTGGGTCAGTTTTCCAGGACGGGGGAATTCTCCCTGCCCCCCTTAGAATTTCAGATTGTGTAACTCTCCATATTTGTGTTAGTCTTTTCAAAAAAGGTTTGTGTCGTCCTCAGAAGTGCTCTGGGAAAGAGACTCTGAGGGGCCCAGGGAGTAAAGGAGTTAGTGTTTATGGTGCCAGCGACCTGGGAGCCGAGGCTTGTCCAAAATGCATCTGGAAGCCTGGGGCACCCCTTCTCCTTGGTTTCCAGTTAGGAAAACTCCCATCTACCATCAACAGGGCTTCTCTCTTTTTAGCAGAATTGGGTAACAGATACATAGTGTGCCATAAAATTGTGATAATTGCATAAGACTTGGTTGACTTATTTTTCCCTTTGCCTTTTTTTTTTTTAAGAAACTTCCCTTTACCATCCCAGAGTTGGTACAGGCATCCCCATGCCGAAGTTCAGACGGGATTCTCTACATGGGTAAGAGTTCCTGTTTTCTGCACTGAAACTCAGAGCTCTTTGGAAAGGAGCCCCAGGATCTAGGAAAGTGGTCCCTGAGAGAGAGGTGTGCAGTCCCTCCCTCACCAGCCCTTCTGGGAAAGGTCTTTCTTGCCTTGGTGGGGCTTGTTCATTCCAGGATCAGCTGAACAATTAAGAAAGGGTTCCCCCCACTTGGGAACAGACTTGACACCATTAATATGGTTACTCATTTAACAAGCTTTTAGCTGCTGTGTTGACCTACCCCTGCGATTTAAAGATTGCAACATACCCAGAAGCGATTGGATGAAATTTTAAGTGAATACAATAGTCTGAGCCAAGAAAGGGAAGCCAGGCTCTTGCCTATTAATTATAGGGCTTTCTTCATACTTCCTGCTATCAGAATATTAGATAAAAACTGCACTTAACAGCTTGCCTAGATAAGCTGCCTTCATACCCACAGGGGTCACATCTTCCAAAGCATAGGATCACCTGCTTTCCTCTTACCATGTTGCTGCCAGAATGTCAATAAAAATGCATTTGTAACACAAAGGAGAGCTGTATTTATCTTGAAATCGTAGTAGTAATAATATCCTGTATTTATACACCAGTTTCGGGAGGAACTGAAAGTGCTTAGTGCCTATTCATGACTCGGGAGTTGTCTGTGTGTTTCTGGGCCTCAAGTGCAGGCCGAATCTTAAGTTTTTGCTAGGGACCCAGGCTCTGGCTTCCTTCCACACCTTCAGAATGAGGATCCCCTCCCCTCTCAGCCGAGGAAATTGGAGGAAGTTCTCTCTGCGCCATGCCCCAGGCCCACCTGAGCACCTTCTGACCATCTGTTCTGATCACTGTTCTCTGTTTGGTCTTCCAGCTCTTGCCAGGGATTCATCGCTTATGGAGCATTTAGGATATTGTGGTTCCGTCCTCTTTGTGTGGTGCCTCTTAAGTGAGCTCATTACGCATATTTATAAGTGTGGCAGTTGCCCAATCCATCCATTAAAGTGGTAGCGGGGTTATGGAGACCGTAATGGTCCTCAAAGTAACCAGAGAGGTGCCATGCCAGATGGAAAGGGATCATGGTCACAGCTGTTGGGTGATATTTTCACTCTTCAGCTCTTTTTCAAATTAAGATTTGTTGCTGAGAACAGAAAGTTATGACCCGTGGACAAGTTTCACACATGTGGACTTGGCACGATGCTGCATCTGTTAGAGCCAAGTGTGGCCTTAGCGAATTCGAATGTCCTGTGCTCTCCCAGGCAATTCAGTACTCCGCTTCCAAGAGTCCTTTGAAATAGGAAACTTGGCCAGTAAGTTAGGAAGATACAAGTGATCAGAGGCCACACCTTACAAAACAGAAATGCCCAGGTCACGGTGAATGTGTTCGCCATCAGATGGGAGGCCGTGCTGCGGGCTCACCGCTACCATGATGCTCTGGTGTATGTACCATAGATGCACACCTTTGAGTTTTCTGAAGTGCTGTTTGGCTGTGCTGTCCACTGTTCATACCTTTCAATCAGCTGACCGAGCTGAGAGGTGTAGCCTGTGGCTGGGGAGTAACTTCCTGGCTGGGACAGGGGCTGAGATAACGTTGGCCTCATTAGCACCATGCAGCCGACTCCACTGCCCAGGTACCACCTAGTGAGAGTTATAGGTAGTAACTGTGCATCCTCTTTACATGATAGCTCCATAGTAGGGCTGCTGAAATATATGCATGATGATTACGAGAGAGACGAACTCCTGGGCACATTTCTGGGTTTATGTAGATCCTAGTCTGTGGGAAAAGGATTGCCCTTTGTAGGCCGGGCTTGGAATATTTAAGGCCACTAATCAAAGCAACACAATAGGAGCTACTAGGTTTGGAGAAATTTTGATACATGATTAGGTTATTGAATTTTTATTAGACCCAGTGGCCCAAGAAGTTTTATTGTCTCGGAGCAGGGTGACAAGGTAATGTATGATGTCGTGAGAATTTCAGGCCTCTCAGCACAGAGGACATATTGGGCCGCTGCCTTGGCAGTGATATTTTTCCATATAGGATGAGTGTAAACCACAGTGTGTCCTTGTGTTGTTTCAGGTAAAAAGCAGGACATTTGGTATGTCATTGACCTTCTGACCGGGGAGAAGCAGCAGACTTTGTCATCGGCCTTTGCAGATAGCCTCTGCCCTTCAACCTCTCTTCTGTATCTTGGGCGAACAGGTAAGAGGAACCTTTTGTCGTGTGCAAACCTGCCTGTTTCCAGAAAGGACCTGAAGTAGCCTCCCCACAGGCCTCTGCCTCTGGGCTTCATTCTCAAGAAGGTGGCCAGAGCTGTCTTCTCCAACACAGATTTTACCACATGGTTCCCCTTTCTCAGACCCGCTGTGGCTCCCCATTGCCTGAGGATTACAGTCCCATCTGTGCGCAGCCCACAAAGCCCGGGTGATGCGGCTGTTGCCTCCTCCCGCACTGCATTTCCCTCATTTCAGCATTTTCCAGTCAAGATGAACTACCTGCAGCTCCCAGAATAAGCAGCGGTATTTTTAAAAACTTGGAATAGTGGGTCCCTCTCTACCGGTGTGCACATTTTTACCTGTCTGGCCAGTGTCCTGTCTCCCCCACATTGTGCTTCAAAGGCACCCTGTGTGTGAGGCCCCTTCCTCACCTCCCGGCCCCGCCCAGGGCAGCAGCTCTTTCACCCTCAGGGCACACAGTGTGGGCCTGTTCCAACCTCCGTCACCGGCCCTTTAAGGCATCAGCACCATGCTCCTCACCCCATCATATTCTGTCACCTCTCTTTTTGGCCTCACCTTTCTTTTCATACCTGTCACTACATGTTTCTAAATCGTATTTGCCTGTTTTTCTGCCTCCCCCACTACATGACCAGCTTCCCGAGGGCAGGACTTGGTTTTGCCACCGGCCGTACCTGCACACGGGACACCTGGAGCATGTGTTCAGGTTGTCCTGCTCTGAAGGCCCGGCAGGGGCCTTGATCAGGGCCCGGTCTCACCCCCTGGGGTTGGTTCCCTAATACACTGTTTTCAGCAGCTCTTGGTCCTGTCCTCTGAGGAATCCTTTCTTTCCCATAAGAGGTGCTTGGTGTTTTGTAGCTTTCTCAGTCTGTTTCGTATCCATTGAAAGTTGGGGGTTAGAGGCGTTTGAGCTTTTGTTTTCCATTTTGACTGTCTCTGGTTCTTTTAGTCCATGCTGATATTACTCCTTTTAAAACTCTGTGGACTTTGCAGGGGTCAAATTATAGTCTATTCTGTTAGGTTAAAGCCATACCCACAAATCTCTCTACTTTGTGCTGTGGACAACACTCATGGTCCTCAGAACCCTCTTACCTAGCAGAGGGTCTATGAAATACTGCCTCAATAGAGCAGAAGGTCTATGAAGTACCACCTTAAATCTTTCTGAGGTCTCAAAGAAGGGTCTTACTGTCTAACCTTTTTTTTGTCGTTAATTGATTTTGAGAGAGAGAGAAACATGGATTTGTTGTTCCACTTAGTTGTGCGTTCATTGGTTGCTGCTTGTATGTGCTCCATCTGGGAATCGAACCTGCAACCTTGCCAGGGCTAACTGCCTCACCCTTATTTGATCTTGACCCAGAGGCCGTTTTTTTACTGGTATCACCCTGGAATTTATCTTTGCCCTAAGGCCATTTTTTACATTGAAAACCTTTTTCAGCTGGGATGTCAGTCCCTAACCCTTTATATTTCCTCTCTATTCAGCTTGAAAAGCAAATTGTTTCTTCCTTAGCTTATCTGTCTTGCATTATCTCATGTGCAGCTGAGAGAAACCGTGCAGCACTTTCTGCATTCTGCCCGGAAATCTCTCTGGCCAGATCCACAAGTTCATTAGGTAATGGTGTCACCACCACATAACCTGGGTCACCCCTTTCCAGCTTCCAGGAGCAGTTTTCTTACTACTCTTTCTCCATGTTAACCTTCCAGCCTCCATCTGCCACCTGGTCCCAGTCAGTGCCACATGTTTTAGGTTTCTGTTATGGCACCTTCCCCCTTTTAGGTACCAGTTTCTCACATCATCTATCTGTTGCTATACAATAAACCACCCCAAAACTTGTGTGGCATAAAACAGTACTGTGATATCGCTCCTGATTCTGTGAATCGTGAGTTCAAGGGCTCAGCAGGGGTGGCTCACTTGCTCCACATGCTGCCAGCTGGGTTCACTCATGTAGCTGGGACTTTAGTTCTCCACGTGGCCTTTTCTCTTTCCACGTGGGTGGCCTGGGCTCTTTTGCAGGCAGTTTAGGGAGGATTTGTCTGTTGTGAGGTCAGCACCTCAGTAGGTGCTGTGACCCCTCCGGGTAACGGGCCGGTGTGTGTTCCCCAGAATACACCATCACCATGTATGACACCAAGACCCGAGAGCTCCGGTGGAATGCCACCTACTTCGACTACGCAGCCTCGCTGCCAGAGGACGACATGGACTACAGTAAGTGCTCCAGGCCGCTTTGCAAGGGTGGGTGGTCCTTGTGACCAGGAGAGAAAAGCCACTCCAGGAGAAAAGCTGGATTTTCTTGTAAGGCACTCTTGGTCACCAGGTTCTGGACTTTCCATGGACTTAGAGTATATATTTCAACAGGCAGTGCTGAAGGCAAGTCCTGGTGAGAAGTGGGGAGGGGAACTGAGTAAAATGGTAGCAAGTAAGCCTGAAATGAGGGGGTCACACTCTGCGGAGTTCCTCTGTGTCACAGAAGGAACTTGCTAGAAGCCCAGTGGGAAGCAGAATTAAACGTCACCTTGTGACATTAACACCTCACTGCTTACACGTGGCTGGTTCATCCTGTAGTTATTTCTCTAGTAAACATCCCCCCAACTCAAATGAAAACTAAAAACCGATTTTGCCAACTTAGCACTGGTATCCGGTAAGTCTGACAGAAATCTACTCTGTGGTCAGATGTGATCAGCCCTGACTTTGAGCTTGATCAGTAGATTTGAAATGATTGCTGTCCAATGCATCTCCATTGGCTCCGTTTTGCTCAGTATTTTCTCTTCCTAGTCGAATTAAATACTAATGAATGTCTCCGGTAACTCACCTTCCAGAGAGTGATCCTGTCTAACCTTTTACAAACCAGGCAGCTCTCAGGGTGCTGACATGGTAGGGCCTGAGCGAGTTCATTGGAAACAAGTGAAACTGTTTGGGGAGATGTGAGAATGCTCCAGAGGACTCGTTTCCTCTAGCTGAGTGCAGCTTGCCAGGACAGTAGAGGATGTGGTTGCAAGACCGGGCGAGACTCGACATGGCTTTGTTTATCTGATCTGTGTAGAGATGTCCCATTTTGTGTCCAATGGCGATGGGCTGGTGGTGACTGTGGACAGCGAGTCTGGTGATGTCCTGTGGATCCAAAACTATGCTTCCCCCGTGGTGGCCTTTTATGTCTGGCAGCGGGAGGGGCTGAGGAAGGTGATGCACATCAACGTCGCTGTGGAGACCCTGCGCTACCTGACCTTCATGTCGGGGGAGGTGGGGCGCATCACCAAGTGGAAGTACCCCTTCCCCAAGGAGACGGAGGCCAAGAGCAAGCTGACGTGAGTCGGGGAACTCGGGGCAGAAGAGGGCCACTGGGATCCTGACATTCTGGTCCTGCTGTGGCATGGCACAGCACACGCTGCGGGCCAGGGCTCAGGCGATGTCTCCAAGACTGGCTCACTTGGAAACCCCAGAATTTAAGAACTGGGGGCGGGGGACTGGACGCTTCAGAATTCTTGAATATTAAATGAATTAAAACTATGGGTGGGGATAGGAAAGAGACAGCTAGTATTCACAGTATAATTTGGGTATTAGGTGCCACAGTATCAGGTGGTGGGAATATAAGAGATATTTTTCAACTTTCTCTATTTTCTAAATTTTTACTCTAATTTATATTTGTTTTAAAAATCAGGCAAACAGTGTTATGGTGTGTGTGTCTAAGACTCTGGGCTTGTCTCCATCCCCACCTGTTAATAGGCCACTCAGTCTTGCTGAGCCTCAGTTATCCACTTTAGAGAGCTGTTGGAGAAGATCAGATAAAATAATATGCATGAATGTGTTCTCTAAATTATGCGCCACCATTCAAATGTATAGTATTTGTTGAGAGAGGTTTCCAGAATTGAGTAGACAACCAGCCCTAAACTGGCTACTTATACTAACCAGAGGGTCTGTCACTACAGACAGCCAAAGCACACCCCATCCTTGATGGCCCAGACAGGACCGAACCACCCAGCGGGGGACAGGATGTCTCACCCCATTTGGAATTTTTGTGTGCAATCCTTTGCTTTAGGCTTCAGATTAGAGCAGTTGGCTGTTTCTCAGGACTTCTGTAGACCCTCTAGACATCTTAAGAATCCCAGAACAGAATGGTGGTGATTCTGGTGTCAGCCTGGTTGTCAAAGCGTGATGCCAGCGCCATCTTAGAGGCTTTGCAGTGGTCACAAGCATTCAGTCTGTCCAGGTGATCACTGTATATAGTCCTTCCTGCAGGCCATGGTGGGGATGGTGAGTACAGCCCTGCCCTTTGCACACGAGGAGACCAGGGCAGTGAGGAACAGCTGGGGCCTGCAGTCCCGATCTCCTGGCTCTCCAGGCAGAAGTCTTGCCTTCGCACCCCCAGAGTGCTTAGGAGCGAATCTGGTTATTCTGGGTGGTATTTGGGGCTGTAATTCTCTCCCAAAAGCCCAGAATTGGAAGAACTAGAATGTACATATCTGTTTTCTCCCAGGCCCACCCTGTATGTTGGGAAATACTCTACTAGCCTCTACGCCTCCCCCTCAATGGTCCATGAGGGGGTCGCCGTTGTGGTAAGTCCACTATGGGGGGAGGGGAGGCTCACAGATACAGCCTCCTAACTGTTCCTGTTCCATTTTCACGAAGAATGACTCTGAATCCTACATAAACATCCTGTTGGTGGCACAGATCTTAGATCCTCAAAAACAGTTCCTACACATAGCACCTTCTACTTTTGAGGAGAGCTTAATGACAAAAACAGCTTGCTAGGCCCAGGAAGCTCTGGTCATTCCCCTTGGCTTTCGTGGTCACGTCTAAGTGACCCGGCTGGCGTTCACAGCCCTCCTCTATCCAGTCCTGTGGTGCCCTTCCTCCAACCCAGTGCCTCTTCTCGCTGATCTCGGAAGTTCCGTGGTTCTTGTTCATCTCTCTCGGGCCATGCCTCACACTTCCAGCCCCCGCCCCCTTCCTTTTCCTCCTTTTGTGACCTATCCAAGCCTCCTGGGCTCTCACCAGCCCACCTCCAGGGCACTGTCTCTGGGCGTCGGAAGCCTCATGATCCTGGCTGCTTATTTGGCCCTTACAGTGTCTGAGCCGTGTGGTTGGCATGTCTCATCTTCCCAGTGAGTTGAGTTGGTCAGCTGCTCCTGTGAGCAGGGCAGCGCCGGTCTCATTGAGGTCCAGCAATGCCCGATCCAGCAGCGGGCTCGTGGCTAGAGCTTACTCCACCCTCGTCTGGTGCATCGATTGCAGATTGCTAGATGCCCTGGCATCCTCCCTCACTTAGACTGCTTCTCGCAGTAGCCGCTTGGAACCCCACACACACCCTGTTCCCAGTTCCCAGACAAAAGAATTTGAAAAGGAGGCCATGTTAAAGACAGCACAACATTGTCACATCCAGAGGAAGGAGCCTCCCCTGCCCAGTCTTACAGCCTTTGTGTCTTGCTCTGACTGTCCTGGACCAGCCCCACCTGGAGGTATGACAGTCTCTTAGGTGCTTAGGACAGTCACAGGGAAGGTGGTCTGCTCATCTGCAAGGGCTGCCCCCAGGCCTCACTTCAGTTCTGTCTCCACAGCCCCGAGGCAGCACTCTTCCTTTGCTGGAAGGGCCGCAGACTGACGGTGTCACTATTGGGGACAAAGGGGAGTGTGTGATCACACCCAGCACTGACCTAAAGTTTAACCCTGGGCTCAAAGGGAAGAACAAGCTCAACTACTTGAGGAACTACTGGCTCCTGATTGGTGAGTTGGTTTCCCTATGCTTTAGTCATGTGCTGCCTCCTAGTGGGCAGATCCTACCTTGCTAATTACAGTTAACTGCATTGTGCTCTGTTCATGTCCTAGTTGCTCTTTCAGACCTTGAACTTTTTTACCCCTAAGGGAAATAAACAGGGTACCTGTGTTGCCAAGTCAGTTCTCAAAAATTGTTTAATATTCCAAAACTCAGCCACTAAGTAGTATAGTCATGTGTTGCTTAACAACGGGGATACTGTCTGAGAAATGCGTCGTTAGGCGATGTTGTCATTTTGCAAACATCCCAGAGTGTTATTACACAAACCTACATGATACAGCCTACTACACACTAGCCTATATGGTATAAACGTACTCCTCCTAGGCTACAGGCCTCTACAGCATGTTACTGCACAAAACAACACAAGATTAAATCAAGCACGAGAAAAAATGGTGCAAACAGGAGGCACAGTAAACACGAGGTATATGAGGCTGCTACCGGCATAACGTGGAACACTGTTTGACAGCAAACTTCCCTTTATAAGTAGAAAGAGAACACTCTAAAGTAACAACAAAAAGTACAGTATAGTAAACACATAACCCAGTAACATAGATGTTTATTATCAAGTATTTGTACTGTACCTAATTGTATGTGCAGTACTTTTATACGACCGGCAGTGCAGGTTTGTTTACTCCAGCAACACCGCAAACTAGTGAGTTATGGGTTGTGCTATGACGTCATGATGGCAACGTCGCTAGGCAATAGAAATTTTTCAGCTCTATTATAATCTTATGGGACCATTGTCATATATGTAGTCCATCATTGACCAAAATGTCATTACTCAGCACATGACTGTAATGTAAACTTTGGGCAGTCATCTGACACATCGAATGTCTGTAGTGTGCCAGGCATTTCCTTTTTTTTTTTCACAACAGCCCTGTGTGAGGCAGGCATCCTTGTTACTTCCATTTATAGTTAAGGAAACCGGAGCAATTTCTATTCACTTGGAGTGGGTGTGGGTGTGGGAGAGGTGGGGGGAGGAGAGGGTTGAAGACCAGTAGGGACTGAGGATGGTGAAGAGTTAGTGGCTGGACCTGGGTCAGGGAGCCATGGCAGAAAT